TCACGATCAGGCCATACAATGAGAAACTTTAGCTTAATGTACAAAATCTCAATCAGTTGATTGAATAAGTGAGAGATGGTAGTCTTGTGAGTAGCAAATCTATAAGGAAGATCATCAAATTGGAGGTTCTTCCTTAGTCGCATTAGTACCATCAATAGCTGTTGAAATGGACTAAGTGATGATTTCTGACACAAGTCTTGATGAACAAAATCATACATGCAGTGATGAGTGTCATGATGAGCTTTCTTGAGCAAACTTATTTCTAGCTTGATCATGCTGATTTAAATTGGACATAAGCAAATCTGTCTGACATTCCTTGCTGCCATTCTCTGACTCTTCTAGACTTACGCTAGTAGTTGAGGTATCATCTAGGTCTACATTAGCATCATCATCTAGCCTCCTATGCTTGCTGTGTGCTCTATCTTGAGCTCGAGAATAAAATCTATGATCTCACTAATCCATCATCAGGTTAATGTGAGAAGTTAATCAGTAAACTAAAGGATACAGATAAGAGTGTTATACTCAGTCACTCATCATCTGACAGTATCAAGTTCCTAGTACCAATTATATTGGATAAAGGAACAATAAATAAACTTTGTATTTACTTTTTGTTATTAACTCGTGCTGATATTTTCTCATTCTCTTCTCAACTGTCAACCAACAAATCATTAACAACTCTAGTCATAACGAATGGTTCAATCAGTGATGATGGAGTCATTGAACTAGCAGAATCACTGCTATATAACAAACAACTCAAAAACTTGCATCTTATGGGAATCCTGGCATCACTTCAGATAGTGCACATTCACTTACTGAACTTTTACTCACCAACAAAAAACTACAGTACCTTCGTCTCCATCATACCAGCATTGATACTGATGGAGTATTGATACTGATGGAATCTCTGATGATCAATAATACACTAGAGCAACTCTGGCTCGATAAAGAACATGAAGAAACTTGTCTTAGTTTACCTTATTGTGAGGATATTAAGAATAAATTATACTTCTTGCTATTTTAATTGTTAATAATTAATTTACTCAACATGTAATTCGTGATGTGTGACTTTTATCTCAATACATTATACACAAACAATAAAATGCTATTAATCATGTGATAGTCATGTGACAGTCAGTCAGTGCAGCTGTTGATTCTTAGTAGATGATAAATACCAAAAGAGAAAACCCCCTCTGTCTCTGATACATCATCACAAGCTCTTGCTTTATTAATATCCTCCAGCCCATGGCCACTTTTTATAAACACTTGATAATTACTATTAGTATGTGTGGGTGGAACTGATACCAGGGTACTCACTCTATCAATGTGACCTCTGATTAGTGGGTGGAGTTGATGAGTGTTAGCTCCTCCCACTAGCAATAGTGCAATTAGGACACCAGTGCATGGAGGTACCAATCAGTAGCTGAGATTGTGTACATGTTAGTAAAGTGATGTAAGGATTGGTGCATTTGTGTTTCTTTATACTGTTGCATTTTAAATGTACATGTATATGGTATCATTGGTATGTATGTATGTATACATGTGTACTTGATACCAAATTCCGCACAATGTAAAGTGTTTTTTTGTTATCTTCAGTTTCCTGTAGATTATGACTCCATCGTTTTTAGTTCACAATTACATGATGTACATCATGTACATGCACTACTGGTCCATACTTACATTTTAGTGCTGATGTTACACTGCTGCTGCAAAAATTCATTCATGCATGTTTTTACAACAAGAGGTCTGCCTGGCTTGGGCGTGTCTTGTAAGTTGTTATTTGAAGCATAGATATTAGAGTAAATGAAAGGGATCGGAAACGGGCATCTTATTATACATCGCTAGGAGACGGATGCGGGTTGACATTTGCATCTAGCAACGGGAGCTGTCTTGGAGCAAGAACTGTCCTTTTGACACCTGTCATTCCAGCAGTGGTGTCAGTATACGCCATTATTTATATCAAAGGAAGCAGGAGACATGAATCTATCCCCAGACAATTTTATATGTAGCTAGCACCATCATTTGCACTGGTCATTTGCTCTGACATGTGAATGGTTCTAACAACATTTTGTTTTGTACCCTTATCTCAAGAGTGATAGACAGATGATAGTAAATGAGTTAATCATTAATTAGAGTACCAAAATGTGGAGGTCGCCCACTATAGTTTGTTTGCAAAAATGATTACGTCTTTCTGTAATGATCAATTTACTGATAAGTTTGAGATGTTTGTTTTGTACCCTTAACATAAAAACCAAAGGGTCTGTGACATTAGCCATCACACCATTGTAATAGTTACAACACACCGGAGGTCGCCAACACCA